CAGGTGATAGATGAGCTTGCCAACACGTCCAGGGACCTTGATGGACCCCTGTGTAACCTTTGACATCCTTTATCCCCCCCCCCCCTCTCCATCTCTTTCTTCTCCTCCCTCCCTCCACCAATCTCTGTTGCCATGTGAAGTGTCAACTTTCAAAGTTTTGATCAACTGAAATGAACACAAATTGCTTGCATCAAAATCAAATGTACACAGCCTAGATTCTTCTTTGGAGGAGGAGGGGGGGGGGGGTACCAGCTTTGTCTCAAGAGTTGTTCTTGAAGTTGAAGCAGTCAAATAATACCTGAATTGAGATTAGATTTACACTTCATAAGAACATAGTTTTAGAAAGAAATATTATGAACAAATCTCTGCTATTTATATGCCGAAATGGCACCTTCTTTGTTGTTGTTCATTGTAAATTTGGGATATTAGTTTGCATTTTCCTGCAGTTGGTATTGTCCTTTTGAGTACCACCTGCTTTTTATGATATCTTTGCTATTTTTCTTTACTTCGTCATTTTCATTTTTTTCACAGTTCAACCCCCTTTCATCACATTGCAAGTAGGTCATCAGAGACGGTGCATATTTTATCATCAACTTTTTATGTCATGTCAGCAATCTGTGTTCTTAAGTGGGAAATATGAAACCAGCATTAACCAAACATTGACTGTTAGCAGAGTCTGACAGACAAAATATCGCTATTCAATAAAGAGATAAAGGGGTTATCTCCTAAACACGAGAGGCCAACTGTATACAATGGAGTCACTTCTCCAATGTTTGGAAGCTGTAAACAATATTTGGTTTCTACCCTCATGCCCTGGATCAGGGCAACCCTTCTCTCGCTCTCTATTCCTATTGGATGGCAATGACCCGGCCCAGTACACGCCTCCTGTGTTGTGCCCCCCCCCCCCATCACCTGATCTTTCGAGAGCAGTATGAGTCACAGTCGGGTTCACGTACATGTACATACTTCTTTTGTAGGTTTATGGTTGAATATCTTGCTTTACTATATTCTTATATCCCTGGTGTCATTTGTTGGTAAACGTAGGTCTAGATTTGCTTCGATCATGTTCTTCTTTTGGGGTTTTTCTTTTCCCCTTCCTTTTCCTTTCTCCCATCCCCCTTCCTACAGTTATTGAAAAGCCAATCACTTGTCGGTTATCAGTCAATTTGGGGTTAGTCTTTTGATGTGGCTGAGGTACTGTAAAACCAGAAAGTTTTGCGACCTGAAACTTCGAGAATCAGAGCCGATAGGCGATAGCCTTTTTTGCAGCATTTAACTTTCGCAAATCTGGACTCCTCGCGAAAGTCACACACCAACAAAAATCTGGTTTTACAGCACCCTTCAAGCTCTCAACAGAAGATATCAACCTGAATAAACCTGGGACTTCATTTTTATTTTGAATAAAACCATTCTTCATTTTCTGTACCGGTATTCATTTTCCCATACCGGCAACCACTTTCTAAATGAAGAAGCCCCATAAAGTGGGCAATCACATTCACGTGGGATTCGTGTGATCTTTAATTTTCCTCTCTCCTTCTTTTCTGTGGCATATGTCTTGCACCTGTTTGGCAATTCAGTTTGCATTTTCAGGTGTATTATCAGTTTCGGGATGCCTCTCCATATACCAATGCAATTAATATACACATGTGTTTCTCTCTGTATAAATAAAATAGATTACAGATTAGACAATGCTTTAATGAGTTTAATATTGCTTTTCATTATTATATGAAAAATGCCATATGTTGACCTGACATAGCAACACATGTAGTACATGACTGGAAAAATAGTTTATTTGCTCATTTTAAAGATACAGTACAAATATAAGGGTCCTCTTGTTTCTTTTAATCAAACTATAGTTAAAATTGTAGGGTCTTTTTGCATGGTCATAGTTTTTATATTATAGAGACCAATGGGCATTTACAGTTTTACATTTTATTTTCTCTAAGTTCCTCTAACTCCCAGCAGGTTCATAAAGAGCTCAATATTCATTTGACATATGATTCCTGTTGGTGTCGAACACTGTGCACTAAATGTGTGCAAACATGCATTCTGACATTATTAAAGACAAATACAAAATAAAACAAAGCAAAAGAAACAACAAATAAAGTCTGATAAAGTGAATTCATATACATACATGCACACCAACATGTATCTCAAATTCATTTTTGTGAGTACATAATCACAAGAAAAAATCCATGGTGTACGTACGACAAAAATAATGGACAAAAACATGCGCACAGGTCCATGAACTTGAATGTGTATTTACACGGCACATTTGATATTGCACATGTGACTGGCTTCATTAGTGCAGTTACATGTACATTAACAATCATCTTTTATGCGAGGGCAATCGACTCGAAGACAACATGCTGTTTTGCCTGAATACATGTATGATGTATTGTTATTCCTTGCAGTGCTATGCTGAGGTATTTAACAGTGTTTGTTTTTAACACAACATGTGTATTGATTTGTAATTATATGTACATTGTATACAACAAAAGAATGATTAGGCCATGTAAAAAAATATACATGTTTAGCGTCCCCGCCCGCTTCCATTTTGGGGGCCGCCTCCTATTTTTTGTTTTTGTTTTTTGATTTTTTTTTGATTTATTTTTTTTGGATTTATTTATTTTTTTAAAAGAAAAAAAACATTAAAAACACTGCTAAAATGGATCTATTTCTGATTTTAAAAAAAAAATGTCAGCGGTCGTCTTGAAAAATAGCCTGATTGACAGGGAAAATGTACCGAGCGGACATTTTGGGCGGCCACTTTGAAAGAAAAAAAATAAAGGGCTTCCTCCTTCCTATTTTTCCAAAACGGGACGCTTAAAATGTTTTTTTATATTTGGCCTCAGATGATTATAGTATTAACTGCTTGGAGCCAGAAGGGTGTTACTCTATTTCTGCGGGAACCAGAAGGGCGTTAACCAAAATCATTAAATTGTCATACCTCAAACACCTGTCAAGATTAATAATCAGTTATGTGCATGCATCTAGCTTTTACTTGATGCCTTAATATTGAAATAAATAGAAATAAATCGAAATAAATGAATTAAAAGGATGGACCCTGAATCAGCATTATTGTGGTGTTGTAATATGATCTTGCATGATGAAGCAGATAATGAGCTATTTTAGCTCAAGAGTGACAATTGTGTTTATGGTGAGCAAACATTTGAATGTTTACTCACTTACTCAAACAGTGAACAATCGTCAAGACAGCCTGCATAGCAATCTACAGATACAGTGTAGCATGACTAAGCAAAATTTGGCTTTTTATTGGAGGTGGGGAGAGGGTGTTGGAGTTAGTTTAATTGATTGCTGTCAAGTATATGAAGCCCTGTTCACATACTGTAGGCCTTGCTAAACTTCTGGGATGAAATATTAAAACGTAGTGAGCTTCAACTGTATCTTATAACATGCAGAAGTGGGTTCACATAAGACCATTGTTGCATCGTGGTAAAACATATACCCATCTTTGGTTGCACTGCATCCACTGTTTTTCATCCCGACTTGCCATTCATTTACATTTTAGAAAAAAAGAGCATGCCACTGTTAAAGGGATCGTTTAACAATGTTAGTATGAGATGCATGGCCCTACGTGTTATCATGCAGTGCCCTAAAAAAGCGCTTCAAAATATCAAGAAGTGCCTCAAAAAAGTAAAAACCTTTGAGTGACCGGTTTTACCATACTCATTTTCCCTAATAGACTGTAGTGTTATGAAAACCGTTTGGCAGACGCAAAATTTGATTTCGATTTTCTATCATAAATATTTTGATAATCAGGCGATCGGCTTGTAAAAAGTCATGGTGTTCCTGACTGACCTAAAGGTTTATAATTATCATTGCAGCATGAGCTAAATCAAGGATTTTTGTAAAGGATCTAAGACAAAGTTACGGTATCCCTTTAAGCACATAGTGTGAACAAGCTTTTCAGTATTGAATCTATCACTCTACATTAAATATGGATATTAATACAGTGAGTGCTGGTATCCGCCAGGTACTTATGCTCATGTAACTCTCTTTGTCCATATGCAATCCTGCCAATTTTCATTTTGGCAATTTCAACCTGCCAATCATCCATTTATGACATCAAGCAGTTTGGAATAATGAAAACCTCACCATAAAAGCATAAATTTAAAATTATAAATACCCTCAAGAAAAAACACTGAGTCTATCACTATGCTGATAACCTTGCATTGGCTCTGTAGTTTAGCTGCTTCAGAGAATTTAGACATTGTACAGAAACTATGAAATAAAAAAGAACACTGTTTATTGCTGCAATGATATATACTGATGGAGTTACTAATATCTCAGCAAAATATAAAGGAGTAGGACTGATTACTAGACATAGAGCTTCTTTTTGTTATCTCACAGGGCAAATAGCTATTAAGATCAAGTGGATCATGTACATGTATTATCATATAAGCATGCACTTGGCCCTTTATTTTTTAATGATAATGTGATTATTTTGATTGATGTATTTGTACGTGTGGTTTGATCTTGTTTGTCAGGGCTTTTTATCTGATATTATTTAGAGAAGGAGGGTGGGTGAGAAGATATTATTCTGTTATCGTGACATATTTATAAGTTAGATTATTTATGGCTAAGAGTTGATTTGTTCTGTTTTTGTTTGTTAGTTGTTGGGGAGTCCACTCAAGCAGATGCATGGTATGGACATGTCAGACACTTCAATTTTCCCCTCATGAAACATCTCATTAAATCCCATGCAGCTTCAATAAACAGTTGTTGTTGTTATTATTGTATGTACCGGTATGTATTTTTTGCTTGTGCTCACTTTGACTAAAATCTATGTTTTGATAATTTCTCCCAACTTTCTTTCTCTCTTTCTCTTTCTCTTTCATTTCACTGTCCTTTTCTCCTTTCTTTTACACATCTTGTCTCTCTTTTTTTTTTCTGTCTCTCTCTTTCTCTCCCTCTCTCTCTCTCTCTCTCTCTCTCTATCTCTTTCTCTCTCTCTCTCTCTCATCTACCCCCTGCAGACAGCTGCTCGTCACAGATGCTCGTACGTGATGGGATTACAAGAGAGCGAGTTCTTGTCGCAGGGCGGAGATCGGGAGTGGCTGCAGGGGCTGGAGCATGTACCTCCTAAAATCCAAGACCTCTACGAGCTCATCAAACTCCTTTCACATCGGCCGTGGCTCATCACACAAGAATTAATAGAGGTAAATTTTATGATACAAAAATCTCCAGAGAAAAACCTATCCTCTGTGAAGGACCTATTGAAAGAAATGAACAGGTACGATAGAAATACCTCAGGAAAGCTTCCCCCCCCCCCTTATCATTTATGACCTACATGTATAACATGTAGTATTAAAAAAGGTTAACAATGTAAAAATAAAATTGATATAAAACAAAAGAACAAATGTGAATTCCAGTTTATCAATTGATTGTATAATAGAAACATATACATGTGTGGAGTCTAGCGCTGTGGTTCATATGTTGATAAACCCAGCAGTATTTTGAGTTCCCTTCTAGCGTGAAAACCCATCCCATGTGTACCTGCCAGACAGCAAGTCTAAATATAGCAATGCAAAGTGCCGACCATGAGACCTGTGAAAGTCTTCAGGATTCAACCAACATTATTACACCACTAGGGGCTGCTGTTTGATACCATAGTAGTGACGGGTATGATGTTAAAGACTCTTGTCACTTGCTGCCTGTAGCGCTTCGGTTTTCTATCAGATTTTTTTTTACCAACACTCATTAAACCTTGAGAGGTACTACTACCAAATATTTCTTCAGCTAATGAAATGAAGTGTCTGGCCTCTTTGCCTTGACTATTCACAGGCTGTAACATATACAGGTGTACAGGTGTATGTAGGCATATATTTGCCAAATAAACTTGCCCATAAAATGTCTACTCTAATGACTCCAAAGACTAAGAGACGATATGTACTTGATTGTTATGCAAAATGTTATTCATTTTTATTATTTTAGTAAGGTCAACACAACATTTGGTCTATTTAGATTGCATTTCTAAAGATTATGTGGAGAAAGATGAAGTACAATGTACACTAGGTTTGAGCATTTATTCCCCATTCAACTCTTCAGGGATTTAAAGAGGTTATCATGTGTGTAAAGTAAACATACATGTAATGCATAATAACAACATTATAATATACCTATAATTTCTTTCTCTCTCCGACAGAAATTACTGAAAGGTCCCCACAATTGGACGTTATCGGAACTAGTCCAAGCGTGTGTCCTCATCTCCCACTTCACATCACTACCAAGCTTCATCTACGGCTGCGGCATCAACCCTGAAATCGACATGGACGGAGGTCACACGCTGAGACCGCCCTCTCTGACGGACGAGTCCGGTCTTTCAAATAACAATAAGCCAAATGTAAGTCTGAAGTAGAAAGTTTGGTGTAAAGAAATCTCATCAAAAACCAGGGATGCCAGTTTTCAGGCAATAGCCTGAATTCAGTCCCTGGCGAGTTATTTTCAGACCATAGCTCATTCTAGGTGATTTTCAAGCCCTCTGAGCAATTCTAACTGGCATCCCTGAAAAAGTAGTGTTTAGTTGTTAGAGAAGAGAAGAGAAATCAATTGTTTCCAACATTTACACAGCATGTGTGAAAGCAACTACATGTATTACTATTATTATTAGTCTTACTATATGAACAAGGTATACAGATTACGTTCTTTTGATCTCTTTCTTTATAAATTGCTTTCAGTGATCAAGAAATAGGCTTCTGTGTGTACATCATTGTAGAAAACAAAACATGAGGCTGAATGCTTTTCTTACTAATTAAAATTCAAGAAGTTAAGACTGCTAAAGTGATGGTTGTGGCTTCGACAATCATTTTCAAAATTACAGTGTTGTTCTTATCATTATGCATCATATTCAGGTGCTACATACTTGTACATGTACATGCAGAAATAAGAGATCATGGGTCTCAATGTTTGATCATGTTTCTCTATCACATTCTCTATACACATATTCTGTTCACACATGAAATTGGCAGAGGAAACACATATTTTACATTATAATATTTCATGCTTCACAATTTTAAATATGAAGAGAGAAGTCGGTCCACAAGTCAACCCTTCTCTTCCCCACCTTGAAGTGCACAAAATAGGTGGGAGAGTATCGCCCTTGGGGCGTGTACGTGCTCAACGGGAGAAACTCAACACCAGTCTCCCCTCATCCAAATGATCTATTGACAGATATAGAGTTACCAGAGGGCTCTGAAAATGTTCGCCTTCTATCGTCACCTTGTTATATGTAGCTGGTCATCATTGCATGGTCACGCTGTTCTTAAGAATAGTTTCAAGTGGTCAGACCTGTCTTAAATAGTGACCACCTCTCTAGAAAGGCCACCTATGAAAGATGGAGGTTTACCAGAGAGCTGTGGGAATTGTCACCTTCTAAAGAGGACCTTATTTTTGTAGCAGACACTTATGGCTTGATAGTGCTTTTCTTTAGAAGTGCTATCACAGTTTATGACCCAACAGTAATCATGGTGTGTCAGAATGACCTGTCTTATAGTGGCCACCCCTCTCTATTAAAGGGCCACCTTCTATAGCATTGCCCTAACAGTCATGACCTATATTGAGATGACCTCTTTTTTTCTGTGGTATCTCGAAAAGAAATACATATTCCAAACTGGGACCTACGTTTATCTGCAAAGTGATAATCAATATCTATAGATGAATGTGCAAAAACGCAACAACAACATTTTTGCCATTAACATTGTCAGGAATAAACAGGAATAAGAAACAAATACATATATATGACATATTGAGATAGGGCATTTTGTCCATTCATAGATAACGTTTACAATTAAAAGAGATGAAACTGGAAACAATCATACATGTACATGTATGATATAAAAGAAAAATTAAAGCAATGCAAATGAATAATGATATTTTATCATCATAAAATTGCACTCACTTCGGCCGATAGGCTGCCATGTACGATTTTTTTTTTATACCACAATAAATAAATAAAAATAAATAAAATAACCGTCCCAATTTTTGTAATCATTTCAGGAGGAGTCAGCTGGAGGGAATGTAGAGGAGCTGGTTCAGAAGATGAAGAACATTGAGAAGCAGAGCGATACAGAGGACTCTCAAGAGGAGAAAGTCAAGAAGTTTGAGAAAGTCAGGGAACAGAGCGGCAAATGTAAGTAAATCAATCATACATTGTAGGTGTAGCTGGCCACGGTGGGGATTGTCTTTGGTGGTAAAGCCCTATGTGGGTAGTTTCTTTTTATTTATTTATTTATTCATTTATTTATTATTTCTTTATGGAGGAGGGGTAGCCCCGAAGCCAAATGTATAGTTATGTTATTACAAATATTGGGTATTGTTCGAACCTATTTAGCCTTACATGTAATTAGTAACTAAGGCAAGGAAAAGCAAGAGTGTTAAAGATGCCTTCATTATCTTTTAAAGGTAAGATAGGGAGATGCTAAGTAAAGCATCTAGAATAAAGGATGAATGGACAAAACTTTTATCGATTAAATCTGAGGAAGGGCAACACCTGTCAGTCATTCCGTAATAGCTCAGACGGAAACCTGGCAATGGACCTAACAGAAAAGAATGATTAAGATTGAATAAAATATTCTGCATCATAAAGAAGAAAAGGATTCCTTGTTGACATGCCGACTCATGATGATGTCATCTGTGAAGTCATGATTGAAAAAGTACAAGGGAGGTTGTTGGAGTGCACATGGCTAGCAACATCACATTAGTATTATTATTACTAGCATCAAAACATTGGCAATGTAAACTTAGCTACACCAGTCCGCCTCGTTCAGATATAGCACTGTAAACCGGCTAAAAGAAAAGAGCATTTCACCGTCCCGTGTACATTGTAAGTGCTTCGCAAGTGGTGCTGTAAGCATTTGAGTTAGCTGCTGGCAATAAGGCACCTACCAGGGTGGGTATTCTGTTATCTGTGTGGTATGCCATGCAGATTTGCATTTGCGCTATGGTCATCACATGTTATTTATGCCGGGAAGGGGGGGGGGGGGGGGGTCTTTAAAGCAGTTGGCCGCATCATATAGTTGAAAAGGCTTTAACAGCATAACTTAACACCATTAGCAACAGAACATGAGCATACTGTATGAGTATTAAGATAACAGCTCAGATAAATGAAGAAACTTTAATTAAGCAAGAAGGAATCATGCTTTAACTATATATTGAAAGTGCATTTTAATTTGATATTTCCATCTCAAATATGAACAGCCCTCTCCTATCATCCTGATGCAATTATCATCCATACATGTACATTTACTCTTGAAAAATTATGTAGAGATATATAGAGAAGTGACAATTGATCAATAAGGTTGGTTCTCTTGAAGTAGCATGCATGAACATTGTTAAAATTGTATCAAGCATGATATACAGTACAAATAGCCAATGGCCAAGTTTTCCAATCGATATTCCTATCTGCCGCAAATCGCCTCAGGGGCCTGCGCTGAGCATCTCCATCCAGACCCTGAGCCGCATTTAGACACTTGACATTTGGCTGACTTGTTTATTCAAAGCTGCCAAAACATTCAATGCCTGCTTAATCCTCCATTGGCATGTTGGTTGGACCAAGTGTCTAGGCTGCCATTAAAGATGAATCTAAGTTCTGGCCATGCAATGAGGTTGTGAAAGGAACTGTCTAAAAGCAATTTGGAAGGGTTGCATGTAGGACATAGGAATCGGTATAAACTTTAGGGTTTTGGAAATCAACTCAATCTCTATTATATCGCATATACTGCACACAGTAATAGCTACATGGAAGTAGGAGTAGGAGTGGTGGTTATTTTACCTGACTGCTAAGAAAGCATTTTAAATGCTTGTTCGTAAGCCTCTCGGAGGTAATATGCACACATGTGTCAGGAATGTCTGGTCCAAATTTTCATCTATTTTTCCTGTATTTCTCGCCATCCAAATATAGGGGCATATGAATAGCAACCATTTGCAGGAATATTACTTCTATGATATTCTTCCAAACTAAATTTAAAAGAATGAGAAGGCTCACAAATTTATTTGTTTAATTTAACCAGAACTCAACGTCTCTTTAATCCTCAACTACCTGGCATCTTTGTGCAAGTGTCTAGGCAGCCAATAAGAGAGGGCGGTGTAGTACCAAGGGCATTGGCTGCCTGTTCAGCCTACCTCATCCTTAATTCCCCTTTGTATCATTGTGGTCTCCTAAACATTGCGGTTTTACTTGAAGTTGAAGGCTTGCCAAGTGTAGCACCTCACCTGGTGTATGTTTACAAACATGGCTTAGGCCTAAATATTTATACCCCTCCCCCCCCAAAAAAAAAAAGCGGGGGACAAAAAAGAATGATAGAAGGAGGAGGAGGGGGGGGGGGAATATATCAAACAATTTACCAACATTAACACAGAAAACTAAAGAAGAAAGAAAGAAAGAGATAATGAACAAGAAAAGATAATGGTCTGTAACAACAATAACAACAATAATGGTATGTATCAACATAAACAAAGAAATCTAGTTATTTAGAGGGTGGTACAGTGAACAACAAGATGAATTCCTGATAGCGCTCATATTCTCCATGCTAGTGCTCAAGGCACTGCAGTATTAACTGGCTCCTGCTTTGCCACTAATAGTGCTCACAGCATTCATTGAAGGAATTCCTTCCTACCAGTATCATTTAACCCCTGGGTGGAGAGTGGCAAATGTAGATCAAAATTTTATGCTCATGAATTATGATGTCATACTGGAAAAGATCGGTGTACTTAAATGTTTTCTCATTTAAAAAGTTGGTGTACCATATCATTTGATCGTAATACCTAGACAAAGAAAGTAACGATTTGAAGAAAAAAGGGGGGGGGGGAGGGTATATGAAGGGTGCATGATTCACAGTCGGCATTGTCCAATTAGTATAACGAGAGTGGATAAATGCTTGGAAAACCAAGCTCATCAAATTGAATTTTCAACCGTAATTGGTCCTTAACCCTCATGTGGTTGCCGTTTCCCATGGCAACAATATTGCTGTCAAAATATTGACTTGAAAAGGAGGTAGCTTAATCACTTTTTTCTCCAAATTGAAGGGGAAAACAAATTTGGGGATTAATGAATACTGAAAGAAATTCAAAGAGATGATAATCCAGTGGTTTAAGCCATTTGTTGGTGTGGTAACAGGTGCAATGGTGGGTGTCAATCTGGGGATATGGTGTTTACAGGATTACATCACTATGCATGGGACAAGTGGAAACTGGAAAGAAAAAATGTGGTCATTGTGGAGGGTTGTTTCCAGGATTTGTAATCTGTTAATGATATAAGTTGCTTGTACCCCCCCCCCCCTTCCCCCACCCCGTTTCTCTTTCTTTCTCTCTCAATTTGTTTCACTCTCTATCTTCTCTCTCTCTTTTTTTCTTGAAAATTGTGCCATCTTGGGAGTTTTCTTATGAAATTTGAAGTTACTTGACTAGTAGTGTAATGATTCTTTTTTATACAGTTTAATTTCAGAGTTTTTTCAATTGGTTTGAATTAAAAAAATAATGTTTTTGCCTGATCTTCAATATGAAACACTACCCCTCATATACATAAAGCTACTATTATAGTACACACAGGTAGCGGGAAAAACATTGGAAATAATCACAATTTGTATACATAATTACACATACAAAAAGCTATTATTAAAGTACATGCAATTAGGGGGAAAAGTATTGGTAGTAATCAAAAAGTATATACGTTTATTTCTCATTGTAAACCCTAGTACTGCCAAGGAGTCCTGGTTCATGCGGGGAGAGGGAGGACATCACGCCATTTGTCCAGGATCCCAGCTTCCTCTACGAGGACTTTGCCAGACGGGGGGAGAACTCCCAGTTCCAGACCTTCCGGGCCCAGGACTACACCTGGGAGGACCAGGGCTATTCGCTGGTCAATAGGTACTATCCAGATGTCAGTCAACTCATGGATGACAAGCTCGGTGTGGCTTACAACATGACCTACAACACGTGAGTTTAGAAGCTCTGTTCTTTGTTTTCTTGGATGTGCTTTAATGCACGGATGGCCAACCTTTTAAAGCTCGCGGGCCACAGCTAACGATTGTCATAACTTGGCGGGCCGTAGCTAGTCTCCCCCCTGCCCCACACACACACTCATGCAATACGTGTACACACCTGAAATTCTGCAAAAACAAACAAGCAAACAACAAGATCAGAGAGAAAAACAAATCAGGCTTATATTTAGTGTGATTTCTGTGGCTTGCACTTTTCTACTATGTTGTTAACCTCCATTACATACTCTGGTGAAAATGAGGTAAAGTGGTCCACCTTTCTCTTCTATGAAGAAATACTTAAGAGACCAATCTGATTTAAAGTTTCTGCCTTCATCAGAAACTCTCCTTTTCTTCGCAGGTCTCGAGGTCGTTGCCATGTTGGTTGTTATTTCAATCAAAATCAAGGACACAGCAGAAAGAATATCCTAAATGTATTACTTGTACACTGTACATCTAATTGAATGCGGTGTAGAGGGAAGGGGACTGACTATAAAGTTTACGATTAAGATTCATGAGAAAATTGTACGGCGGGAGAAAAGAGTTGTAAGTTTGAAAACAAGTATGGCATTTCAAACATTATTTCTTGATTCACAACATTTGTTACTGCGTGCGGAAATTACAAACTGAAATTTACACGGCGAGTGATACGCGGGTATTAATGTCATTAATATAATATAATGAGAGGGAATTTGAGGAGTCAGTGTATCACAACAGTTGTTACTGCATGTGGAAATTAGAAACTGAAATTTACACGGCGAGTGATATTAATGCGGGTATTAATGTCGTTAATATAATGTAATGAGAGGGAATTTGAGGAGTCAGTGTATCACCAAGTAACGAGTCAATGCGTTGTGAAAGATGAAATCAAATTATGGAAATATTAGAGCTGCGTGTACATGTTTTACCCTACTTCATCGCTGCTATATGTGGCTGCATTTCATTTATGAAGTATTTTTTCACTGCTCCGCGGGTTGCACCAGAAGAGCTCGCGGGCCGCATGCGGCCCGTGGCCGCAGGTTGGCCACCCATGCTTTAATGCATGGTAGGCATCACTGTAAGGTTGAACAAAATTTGCTTCTGTTTGTCAATAGAGATTGGCAACTTTCACAATGCTTTTTACATCTTGCAGAATCTTACTTTAATAATAATAATAATAATAATAATAATAATAATAAGAATAATAAGCGCTTAGAGACATTTGTATTAAGCGCTATATACAAATTAAATATTATTATTATTATTAATAAAGTCCACTCCAAATTTTATTAAGTTAAACCAAAAATGGAAATTCTTTTTGCCCAATTGATCGTGAGCCCGGCAGCCACTGAGCAGCACCAAATCGACGTCGCTCTATCCCTTATTGTTGAACTCCAAACAAGGAAGCAGCAACTCCCGTCTTTTAACGTCTTTTGGTATGAATCAGCCAGGGTTCCACCCACGACCTCCCGGTTGTGAGGCGGACGCTCTACTGATTGAGCCAACACACCGGTATTTGAGTTGTTATGGTAAAAGCTTTGTATAATCACAAAAGACACAAGAGTTTAGAAATACTAAATTCCTTTTTGTTGTTCATCTTTTTGAAACTGACAATCTACACAAATGTGTTAACTTGGTTGGGCTGCAAAACAAATTGACATAAGCACTCTTCATTTCTATTGATTTGACACTCGTAAAAATTCAGACAAATTGATTTAGAATATTTCTCTTTCTTTCACTAGAATGGGCCATAAAAAGCAAGTGGACACATCGTTGCTGAGGCGAGCCATCTGGAATTACATCCATTCGTTGTATGGCATACGGCACGACGACTACGACTACGGAGAGATCAACGAACTGCTCGATAGGCAACTAAAGACGTACATCAAGACGATCGCTTGCTATCCAGATCGTACCACCAAACATGATTACGACAGCTTCTGGCTTGATTTCAAGCACTCAGAGAAGGTGAGCAATGAAACCTTGTGGCCTGAATTCTTAAAGATAACATTCGCAAAGAATTCCATGAAATCCACTAATTGGCAATTTCAGTAACGTATTCTATTGGTTATAATAATCATTTTCGTGTTAAATTTTTGTTATTTATATGTTAGCATTGAACTTACCCTAAAGTTGAATTTTTGAACATCTTTGCAATCATTTTTAAAGTTCATGCCGCAATTGACCAGTTCGTGCAGCTATTAATGCACCCTTTTCCCAAAAGAGACTTATGGCATTCAAATATGAAGACTGTTCTTTCTAATGTATTAATTGTTTTCTTCATTTCCTTTGTGTGTCAGGTCCATGTCAACGTGATGGTGTTAGAAGCCAGAATACAGGCCAGTCTACTCTACTGCTTACGAGCCATCATGAGATACATGACATGACCTTCTGACCTCCTTGAGGTCAACAGCAGCTATAGGTCAGATACATCTCTGAAGTTTTCTTCATGATGCTCTGTACAGTGCAAAGTACCGAACAATTTGCATAAATATTTCTTGTATCATTTGATGCTGTCCGTCCCGTACTCATGCCGTGCCCCTGCAACTCTCGCTGTCGTACTCCCGCTTGTCTTTATGCCAGTGTAGGCAACGCTCGAGGACCACTATCTGCTCTCTCCTGTGTGTATGAGCCTGTATAGAAAACAAACGTGTGCCCTGAACAAATTTTTGTAGCGGTGCTTTTCCTGTATATCAAGTCTCATGATGTGTGTAGGATACCGATGTACTGGAGTGCTCGAGAACGCTTTGATCAGAGAGTGACTTGGTGAGAACTTGGCAATAACTTGTGATGGGCGCGGTGCTGTATTGAATTGGCCATGCCTGGCAACGATTGCTGATGTGTACTCAAAACACAATGGAAAGTAGTGTGCTTAATGCTGCATGGGAGGTCGAGATGGTTTTGTGAAGAGCAGGAATTGAACTGATGGGTGTTCACTGTCTGTAGTAATCACTCCATTATCAATATACATGTAGTCTTGTGGGTGATAATAACCGTTAAAAAGTTACAATATATGGGCATGTAGTTGGTGCCCCACCTCTTAAATGATTAGACTACTTTTCGCAATCACTAAATTCATTTTCAACCCAGCTTTGTGCAAAACTTACCTTTTACTATCCATCCTGTGTCAGCTCTTATCATGTTGATTATTGCACATAGAAAAAAAAATCTTCAAATTTGCTATATTTGCCAGAATTAGGTGTCATTTCCAAAACGTTTTGGAATCCCATAACCCAATAAAATTCTATGTATGTGGACATACATTTGTATGCATGATGTTGCTGATGGTTATCAAAGTTTCTTATTAGCTTAATGCATTTCTATTGCTGCTCTTTTCCCAACTGTCAAACCAAATGAAAGTCGCTGACTAAGTTCTGCATCTGTTTAGCATTATGTATGTATATATGGCATTGTCGCTATTAAGTGTGCACATCGACCGGGCTGTGAAAGGCAACCAAATGGAGCTTTAGAGAGACTGAAGAAGAAGAGAACTTTGTACATAATATGTTTGTACTGTTACGGCTTTGTTATATGGAATTTAATATCTTTTGCAGTATTTAAAGGTTTTTATGAAACAGTTTTTTAGAAGTATTTTGATATTATCACAAGTTACAAGTTCAACAAGTTCAAAAAATTAAGAAAAAGGATCAAAGAAGTGCTTTCATCAACAAACAAAAAATCAAATCAAATCAAAAGTCAAACAGTGCTGATGAATTTTTGATACTAGCCCTTTTTCTGGCTTGCATAGCGTTTATGATTAGTAAAATCACCACAATGCAAACTGTCAGGAAAAAGCGAGTGTAGTGGTATTTAATCTGTTAAATATATTAAGAAGTTGCTTGAGAGATACGAGCGGATGTAATACCGGCCACCATATCTGTATACCAAAGAATTCGAGGGCGAGCTAGTGAATGCAGTCAGACCATCAATTCTCTGTCTAACCCTGCACTCAGTCTCACCCCAGCTGCATGTACAGTACATTTCTAACTCTTATGAAGAAGCAGAAGGCAGCTGATACAAAGACTATATTGCGCATGCTGCAACAGTTTGGTGAAGTGGAGGAGGATTGGACCTGCAAGTATTACAATGTTCAATTTGTAAGTCCTGCCAAACTTGGCTCAGCCAGGGTTTCTTGTGGACTTCATATCCTGTTACTTGTAGTGCACAATGTGGAGAAGGGTCATAGAGGTCACGGAAAGGTCCCGGAAAGGTCATTGGGGTCAAAGAGGACATCTTGGTTCTGACTGCATATCATTTCTACATTGGGATGATGAAATGTATACTACTCTTCATTTTTAATTTATTTCTTTAGTTATTTTTTATTTATATCATCATGAATTCATGTGATCTATGTAATGGTCAATTAAAATTGAAACTATTGGCTATTCATTGATCGGGCAGGGTATTGAAAAGTTAGGAAATATGCATACCGTTTTGTATTTGGCAGACGGGAATTTGTCACATATCTATTGTGCTTCATTTTTTTATTGCTTCAGTATTAACGTAACATTACTTTTATAACTTGGAAGATGTACTGACCTAAATATGTTGCATAGATGTACCGTAGTCAAGTACCATCGAAATTTAGATTTTTTTTCTTCTCAAAAGGCACATCCATTGTTCAGGCATCTGATTGCCCTCCCCCCCCCCCCCCCCCCCCCCCGATCTGCTGGGCAGATTGTCTGTAACTCTGTACAGAACCAGGCCAGAAGGATGTTTAGTTTGTGTTAAAGTACTGTCTGATGGTCCATTGCGGCCGCCAAAGAGAAATAGGAAAACTGGCCAATATAGACAGGTTGCTTTTTCTAGAGAGAAGGCTGCTAAGACAGGTTTGACTGTATAAGAGTTTAAACCATACTGGCTCCAAAAAGACAAGATGTGTTTGTTTCGTAGGATAGCGTCTATCCTCTAGTGAACAAAGTCTTGCATCATTATGAGCTTTCCAAGGTATAAAAACTAAACCCATTGTTTGCAAACATTTAACCTTCAGTATTTGACACTAACGGGCATTGCCATTGAAAGTCATGTATCATTTGATATGAGCGCGCTGTAAAACTATTAAAGCATCTTTCATCACTTCTCAAGAGAAAACTGTATATTCATGTTTATACTTGCAAACTGGTCACCCCTTTTTGTACAGGCCGTATTTTTAAGTAACAAAGTAAAATACAATACCTGTACATTTTACATGGTTCACCAGGCCCTAATAGTCTTCACTTTACAGTCTGATGCTTGGCGACTGAGTTCAGGATTGAGGTTTGTTCGTTAATAGGGGGACAGTTCACACATTTCATGTCCATGTACTCGGTTGCTGCTAAATTGTGCCAATTGTTACTCGTGTGCAACCCCTTTTTCGCGTGAAGGTGTGCATTAATAATGCTGGGATCCCTTGTGAAAGTGATCTTGTTCGCTTGCCCTATATTTGTTTATTGAGCTTACGCTTTATATGATGATCATCATTATTGATATTATGTGTGTACAACTGTACATTGTATATGCCAAAAATTGTGTTAACTTATGGTACTTCGTAAGTTGTTTGTAATGGATATTGAGTGTAGAAATATTTAGTGAAGAAGTCTTGGACATTCTCTTCTTGTGCCCCCTCCCTCCCCTCCCTCCCCTCCCCCTTCTTTATATAATATACATGTAAATGAAAAATACAATGTTATGGGCATGAAATAGACGATAGCAATCCCCATACCTCACTACACTTTCATCATTCTGTACTGTCAAAATACTGTCACGTTAGTTCTTCCACAAAGTTATAAGTAAAGTAAAATACCGTTGAATCAATATAAACATTGTGTGTGCAGTCTGCTATGTACAATGTTTTCGGCTGTGTTTGTCTTTTTACCGTGATGAATGCCTTTGTCCTTTTTTTAAATGAGAAGAGACGATGGTATTGCCACTGTACATTAGATATAAGAAACCAGACTTCATGCATGTACTTACAAATACTTTTTTGAATATATATATATATATATATTTGCCAACAGTGGAAAATATTTCATTACTGAATAATAACATGATTTTGTGTATAACAATTAAACCACTTCAAAATACAGTCAAACTTGTTTTATTGGCCACCTCTCCAGAAATGCCACATTACTATTGGTCACTCAAATTGCTCTCTGTAGCAGGAGCTTTGTATATTGAAGAACCTGGCTATAAAGGTCACCTGTCAACAGTGGCCACTTATTATGTTTCCATTGGGTGGCCTTAATAGACAAGTTTGACTGTATCTTCATTTTCATGTAAGCTAAACACTGCCTCAAAATCCATGATGATAATTGTTGATTCTATGTTTGTCAAACTCATCTTGATTCCAAATACACTGTTTACACCGTAATTATCTGGGCATAGCCCATCTGCCTTTTAAGGCATATATCTGTATTAGTGATTGAATACACAGTTAAAGTTATTCCTATTTGTAGATGCACTGATTGTATGTTTATTTTCATTTCAAGCTCTCATATGCAAGCTCCTATCAGAGTCTCAATCAGTAATAAAGTTGGGTATTGACAAGTGGCCCTTACATACATTTGGAAGTGGATTCTTAAGTAGGCTGGGGTGTATGACAATGTCACAATTCAGCTTCACAATATAACAAAAGGATGACCCATTACTAGGAAATCTTAGACAACTTTATTTTGTAATTTGTTACAGCCGATAAATACCTTTTGATAATACCAAATCAGGAGCGATCTTAGGACTCTTTTTCTCCTTTAGAAGGATAGGGATGAAAGCAGCTGAAGTAATTTCACCATTGTTAACAAAGTATATCAAAATATACATGTATATGTTTGCTGCAAAAATCCTTCTGCACATTGTATATGAAGTAATGTATGGTGCCAAATTGCTGTATCTTGATCGTTGTAGAACGTTGCCTAATTACTATGGCATCTCCTTTTCTTCTCCGCCATTGAATATTTTCAAAATTTTGTCCCAGTTGCCTTCTCCTTGCACATCTCATAGTTAGTCTGTGTTGTGTTTTTGGATTTGATCTGTAGTGGTGATAAGTATGGTAAATTTGATCGAGGATTCCTAAAGGAAAGAAAAAGGGGGAAATAGGATTGGAGTAACCTAGAGAGGGACTCATTGGCCAATCCTCTCCCAATTTTTAAATGCAAATCCCCCCTCTCCCCCTTTTCCACCCCACCCCACCCCACCCCACCCCACATGCACCTGGCTGTTAGACAGGGAACAATTTGTGAGTGTCCAATGTTATTTGAAGATCATTTGCACCAGACAGCAATTGAAAATGATTTAATTTGAATTACTGAATAATGTCCTCATTTGCAAGATAAAAGGTCATGTCATGTACCATATGTCATAGATATTAGGTCATAGTTCATAATATCGTAGAAATTGGAAACGGGTGCTTAACAATAAGGTATCAATAGAACACAGCTCAACACAATTGGCTAACTGGGGTTAGGGTCTTAAACTGTGGAGCAAAGTTTAAAATGTTTAAAATTCTCTGTAGGGGCTGTGAATGAAAAGTTCTCATGAGACACAAACTTCTAGACATATAGGTTTGCTTACGGTAGCTTTTATATGTAATTTAAAACATTCACAATTGGTTTCCTGTTCTTTCTCTTTGATTTTCTATGCATGAACTTCTACTTTTTTTTTATGGTGCAGATGAATCTGAACGATAATATTGTTTATTCCTTTCTGTAAGTCTCTCTGTTTCCATGATAGAACACATAGAAGTAATTTACAATGCCAGGGCCCAGTTTCATAAAACATGTTATCAATAACAAGTTACAGTAACTGTTATAAGCTACTGAAATCGTGGATGTCCTTATTTGTCAAAATAATGTACCTAATTTATATACAAATCAATCATACCAAATATATGTAACTCTCGTATCCCTGGTTAAAGGCAATGTTATGTATGAAGCTCAGCCATGTTTGATGGATAACAAGGTTTATTCTGAAGGAATGGAAAATAGTGGTAATGACCTGGTCATTAAAATGTTATGCTAGTAATCCCTTTGACAAGCTTTTTCATGTATTGATAATTGTAGAAAGAAGTATGTGTATGTATAGATAGGAACCAGTATGGGAGGGGGGGGGGGGGGGGGGAATGCAAGTTCAAACCTTGGCTGTGAATGTTCAATTTGATGTTGGTACAGACTGTCATGCATACTTTGTTTTCCTATATGAATCTGTTCCCTCCGTCCACTCTACAGATAATGATGCCCTTGCGTGGCTCTCCAACCTTGATAAGTCGCTTTAGATACAAAATGTCATACAAAAGAAGAAGACTCTACTGTATGAGGTGTATTTCGTAATGAAAGGACATGACTTTGAGTTGATGTCATCTGTTGAGACCCAAAAGGGTGTTAACTACATACAAAAGTATATGGGTTAACACCCTTCTGGCTCCGAACAGACGGTACCGCAAACAGACGATACTATCATTGTAGGTTTTCTATCTACTCATGTCCACATCACCCAAATCATACAGTGGTTTATAGCCCCATAATAGGTCCTTTCCTTTTCCCTGACATTGTAATTACACAGGCTGCATCAAGGCAATGGCCAGATACACCCAGTATACCCTGGTGTTTGATTGTACTTGTAATTTCAACTTAGTACCAAAAACACATCCCCCAATCAAATCCATGTTCCCTTTTACAGTGTACATGGTCATCCCTTGTGCTTGGTTTAGTTAAATCGTTTCCTTTAATGTATTACTTACAACAAAATAATTGGACATTCACATGAAATTGTGGGCATTAGTTAAATGTGGACAATTAATCTTTAATTTAGGCTGTTACGGTTGGTACACTGATGTTTTGTTTTTTCTTATATAAAGATGATTGTGAACTTTAGAGATACATACATATCTATGTACTTGTTTTGAAGTTAGTCATCCCATAGTGGGCAGGGTTGGCTCATTTTCCCTTTTGCCACAAGTACATGCAATACATGTATAGCTCCTATCAGCTATAATTGGGCAAACATTATGTTTGCCCCCCCCCCCTCTCCCCCATCTCAGTCTACACATATATATCTGCAAAGTTGCCTTGCTTTGCAACGGAAGCAAGATATTTTATTTCTTTCTGCAAGACCTTAGAATCATACTGGCTTCTCTAGCATTCATGTTGTTCATTTTACATATTTTTCAAGCTTTGCAAGTATCCCGTAACTCATTGGGGAGATTTTGAGATTATTCCCTTCAGATATTATGCGGGCTAAAATCTGTTGTAATTGTCAAAATAAACATAGACTTCTTCTCCCGTTAGGTGTTCAAGTTCAGGCCATTTGAAACTCCTATTGATATAGATATTTGATGTGTTTCATGTTTGACAATCATACTTTGAGTTGATAAAGTGGTTGCCCATTAATGAGATGTAATGGTAACTAAATGACTTGTGATCTAGTTATTATATTTATCTGAATATATTTTTTCCATGATATGAACTTTTTGTTTTGTTCTTTTTGAAATCCAAAGACATTAAAAGTATTTACTTCATGGTGACTAAATTAAAGCATTTGTTTGTTTGTTTGTTTGTTTTACCTGACTACTAAGAAAGCATTTGTGTGATTGTTAGTAAGCAACTAGAGGACCGAATGCATTAAGTCCTCTCTGAGGGACTTGGTAATGAAGATTAATGGCTTACCAAAGGGCCCTAGCGGTTCAAATGGACCTCCTGCTTATAATTAGACAATCGTTCTACCACTGAGCCAGCGCCTCCATTTTGTGTGTGTCTTGAGTTTGTTATTTGTCTGAATCATAGACGTGACTGATGGATGTTGTTGAAAACTTTGCTGGATGATGTACTATATGTAGGATTTATTGAAACCAAATTCACATCAAAAACCATGAACAAACAATCCGAAGACTGACACCTGTCTTGGGTACAATATAAAATTTAAATCAAGTATTCATAATAAAATAGCAGTAACGATTACATAAATAAGTTACATAAGTTAAAATATCAAATAACTGTCACCACTGAATATTGCAAAAAGGACATATAAACAATAACGATAAGTATACTTCATTACAATTACATCAATACAATTACAATTACATCAATAGAGGATTACTTTACTTCTACTACTTATAGGGTGCTCCACGAGGGACAATTTAAGAAGTGGAAGGGCACCAAGGTGCTTTTGTACTGATAGACAAGGAAAAATAAAGAGAATGCAACAATAAAGAGAAAGAGATCGAGAGAGAGAGAGAGAGAGGGGGGGGGGCACAGTGAGTGAGACGGCATGACAGAGACACGCATACACTGCACGCACCACCCCCACACAGGAAGAAAGAAGGCAAGGGAAAATAGGTTGTTCGTGAGGAGAGGGTTGATGGGCGGGGGAGTTTTGTCATTTTAAAAGGGAAAGGGCTATCGGTTTCATGTTTCTGGAACAGTTTATGAACCCTGACCAAATTTTAAATTTTATCCTGCCAAAACTGCAGGAACAAGCATTTTAAATGACCAAGGAGCTGACGCAGGGGTGGTAAATGGTGATGTTGTGTAAGCCTGCTTCCCTTCTCCAAAAAAATAAAATATATATAAATGTATAAAAAAGTAAAAATGATGAAAATAAAAAATAATAATAATTAAGAAATAAAAAATAAATAACTAAAATAAATAACAAAATAAAATCTCCCACTCTCTCACTCTCTCTCTCTCTCTCTCTCTCTCTCTCTCTCGCTCTCTCTGGTGCATGTATATGTTTGTATTTGTGTATGTATGTATCCCTCTATTTGTGTATTTATGTATATGTAATATTAATGTACATGTATCGCCTTCTATATATCTATATTTTTGTCTATCTTTCTATCTATTTCTCTTGCTTTCATTTTGTCCCTCGCTTAAGTTAAAGTGTAATCAATAACAAACAAGTATAATCACGAAAGCTTTAGAAGAAGAAAAAAAAGGAAAGGGATTAAAATGAAGAAAAAATTCATACGGTAATTCGTCCCCTCCTCTCCTCAGCCAAGTATTTTGTAAACCTCTAGTGGATGGTCCGATTGACTACACTAATTTCCCGGATTGCGCAATGTCGCTTTCTACATACTTGCTGTGACGCAAGACTGACAGAATTGTCCCCTCGCTGTATAGAATTCAAACAGATCCTACATATTAAGGAAATATCTTAATATTTTGACGGAAGTACGACCATTTCAGTACATACATGTACGCAGAGTAGGCCTATTTATCGCTATACGCAGTTTATTTTCCTGTATACCAGAAAGGATTTACTGTTTTTGACCCGAATGGCAGAGGTAAGTTGAAACACAGTTTTTAAAGAAATTTATTTTTCACAGTATATAGTTACAAAGGTGAATGACAAAACGCCTTATAGAAAGAAAATGGAGAATGTAAAGAAAAAGTAATAGGCCCATGATAACTATTTGCTGTAATTTCTTAAAAGGATATCTTTAAAATGATTGTAACGTAAATGTAGCGTTTTCTTAAATCAGTTTAGCATTCTCTATACATATTACACAATTGGAATAAAGGGAAATGTGTATATTTTGTAACAAAATATGAACGGCTAAATGTGGAATTCCCCGAGCTGACGCATAGTGATATTATCACAGATGTGAGGACAAACCATATAGAAATAGAGAAAATATACGAATAGAGATGGGGTGAGGAACTAAGAGTGAGGGGGGAGGAGGGTTGAGGTAAAAACGGCAGCTGGAAAGAAAGAGAGACGGGGTAGAAATTAAGAAAGAGTGTGGGAGGGGAGGAAGGGAGAGACATCGACAGACATCGACAGACAGGGTGAGACAGGGGAAGACAGAGCCAAAACAGAGGGAAACAGGAAAATAGAGCGAGACAAAGAGAGAGAGAGAGAGGGGGGGGGGGCTGCAAAGATAGTTAGAAATCATAAATGACTTATGCGGCCTTATACTAAACAAAATGATACATTGACATTCTGTCGAGATGATGATCCTGAAATTTCATATAAATGAAGTTTAAACCAGTTTGAAAGCCATTTTTTGTCGTACAACTTGAAGCATATTTTATTATGACCGAAGGTATCCGTTAAGGATACGGGCGCTACCCTCACCCTTCCTTCCCGAACGTACTTAGATTTAATTATGCCAGTTATTAATATGAGTTATGTGTCGTTGTAAACCTATCAAAATCGAGCTTTAAAAAATGTTAACATTATTCAAAGAGCATCCGCATGGTGATGGGCTGGTTCTTCACCAGAGTGAGGAGATAAGCTCCCTCTACCCCCCTAAGCTACCTACTCACTCCTCTCAACCTGGTGTCTTGTGATTCTAGAAACACATTACCAAGTATATATATTTTTTATGGCATAACAGATTAATTGAATGACCTGAAACGGTTTAATTCATTAATTTGTTACCATTCGCCTTAATTTGCGTTCTCTCATTTTTGATGGCATACTGGAAAATAGGGCTGCCATGCCCTAACGGTGCCAGTAATCCGTGTTTTGATGCTTGGATTCAAATTCCCTTAAGATTTTTTTGTCCGGGGGTCTCGGTCATGTAGAAATAGTGTAAGCATGCGTGACTGTAGGTTTTCCAGACACCCCCTAAACGAGGAATTCTTATGAAGCCAAAATACAACCTTATTGAGGAATTTGCGTTTTTTCCCCAGAATCACACCCTAAACAGGTGTTTCACAAAAAAGGTGTATTTCTAAACAAATATTGTAAAATTGTAACCCCATGAGCATTTTGAAGTGCGATAGAGATTACCATGAATGTGAAATAAATCAAAGTGGGCTTTTGATGTAAAATACACAGTGTAAAACATCAACATGTACACTTTCAAATGGGTTTAATAGGCAGACATCAAAAGTCCTTTCTGTGAGAAAAAAAAAATTACATTTCAAATTTGATCTATATTATGTAAAGTACATTTAGTGTTTACAAAGGTGACAATGAACACTTACTATTCTACTATGCAAAACTAAGTATGTATAAGGGAACAGTCCAGCTATGTGCGTGAGACTTGGTAGGTCTGGGTCGGTATCATGGGCAATTGGGCATCCATCTTGATCTACTGAAGATCTAAAGACCGGTTGGCGCAGGCGGCGGTCGGTATAGTCTCGCCAATGGGCATTATTACCCAGTCCCCCCCCCCCCCCGGGCTGGCCCTGGAGGCTAGAAATTTCCCCCTAAACGCGTATACCAGCGCATACAGCAGGACTTGAACTATTTCGAAAACTACCCTTTTTCTCGAAAAAGTGGCCCAAAATGGACGTTTTTTAAAATCTTTTTATTAATGCGACACCGCGCGGACCGCGTCCAAGCTAACAAAAACACCACTTTATACGCGTTTTCTTGGTCACGCATGCTTACAGTATTTATATTTTACTGAGACCCCCGGGATTTTTTTGAAGGTACGAATATTTTATTTTTCAGTCAAATCCGCCAGAAGACCGCATACATAGCCAAAAAGTGTTGGGCACTTTTTCGACGGACGCAGATCGCAAATATTGCAACGATGACCGAAACCGACGATTCTTCCTCGAACCCGATAACGAAGTGGACTTTGACTACACGAAAGGCTTCGAGGAATATGTTGCTTTGGGAGAAGATCCAAAAGTCACTTCGTTGACGAATGTCTTGTGTTGGATGCGTGATCATCGGAGCTTGTTAATAGAGAGTGGGATTTTGGATACCACGGCATCGAGGTGAGACACATGTTCAAATAATTTGATTTTGAAATTGTGTACCTTGGTGTATACTGTTGGACCCCATCATTGAGGGGGCGGGGGGGGGGGGGTTCTGGTGCCGTGGGGAAGGGATCTCCCGGCTGTTCAAGGTGGATGACATGCGAGAAAACAAGGCAATGGTATCGGTTTGGGAAGGGGATGCATGTATGGGAGTAGGTCTATTATATTTTCCCCATGTTTTCCTCATGTTTGTTCTCGTTTTCTTTTTCGCCACTTCGGGGTATGTGCCATCTTTCAAAGTCACTACCCATTCTAAAACGCACTCATCCAACATGGCCAATGCAATCCTCTATGACATCACATAGAATCACGATGATCCCGTTGCCTAAGGTCGACTTCCCTCATCATAAGTTATCTGAATATTTATCAAAAATAATATTTGCTTTCTCTTTTTGTTTTAAATTCTCAATATGTTCCCATGATTTCTTTGCTTTTATTTACGCGAACTGATTTGTTTGTGTTAAATATTTATTTATTGATTGATTGATTTATGTATTTGCTTATTTACTTATTAAACCAATTTTGATCAGGCTTGACGTGGATTTTGTTGGTCGTCGTGGGACATTCAAGAACTTTTTGGAAGCTGGAGGCAACAGAAACATTGATATCCGACTTGTGGTGACCCTTTACCGGGGAACCTATTTTATCACAGAGTTCTCTGGTCTCTGGAAAACAAAGAGAGAGCAAAACAGGGATGATCGGATGCTAGGGGCTTCTTCAAAAACATTTCTCAAATTTATAACAAGCAGTAAGTACAATTCAAAATAAATACTAGTTCTCTATATTAAACAGTAAGTATATATTACAACAACAAAACTACAAAATAATAAATAAATAGATCATAATTAGAGGTTATTTTAAGTCATGACTTGAATTTGTAGGTGTTATGCTGGACAACCATATTACATCAAACATTTAGTATAAGATTTAGTAAATACATTACTGTCCTATACCATTTTTTCATTGCCAAAAAGGATGATATCGATGTCGTATAATGATATGTAAAGTTAAATGAAAAGGCGAATGTATATATGGTATCTTAAAATGAGGGCGTTGTATTCACCTTATGATAAGTATAGGATCCCTACGAAAAACAACTTTTTGCTGATCAGGGTGTTCCAGCCCACAATGAAAAATGATGGAAATCAAATTTGATGAATAAAAAATATTTACGCCATGAATAGGTATGACCATGTAAGGTCAAAATATATGCATCTGGCATTCGGTCATACTGGGAGGTTTAGTGTTGTGATCTATACCAGAAGTTGGTCCTGCTTCCGAAATTAATTTTAATTTATTAAGTGCCCGAAAAGAAAATTGTCCTTAAATCAGTATCGGCAAATTCTTTTTTGTTTGTTTTAATGAATGTTATTCGTATTCAATCAGATGACAAATGCGCCCCGGACACCCCTGCTCCCGTGAACGACAATGCATCCTTTTACGCAATGATGAGCGCCAACTGCGGCAGACATCGGCTGCTCTTTAGCTTTGAGGTGCAGGCAGAATGGAAGGATGAGATCGCGTCCCCTCCGTGGAACTACCTGAACGTACGCACGGCGAACGGCCAGTCTATACATCCGTAAGATAATTTCATCCCCTCTCTCTCTCTCTCTCTCTCTCTCTCTCTCTCTCTGTATGTGTTTATATCACTCTGTCTCTGTCTTTCTTCCCATTTTTTTAATTCATCGAGTGTATAACCTCTCCTAATCTAGCGGTAATACAAATTGTAGCCTTTATAAGTAGGGCGGACCCCCCCCCCCCCAAAAAAAAAAGCAAAACAAATAATAATCACAATATTTTATTCTGATACTATTTTCATTGTATACGTGAGGCTTGTCAATTGTTGGGGTTCAATCGGATGACAGGTCGTTTTCGTCCCCACTCTTTAAATCTGCCACTGGTTATGCGGGTGAGATGTTAATCAGGGCAGTGGATGTAGAAGAAGAAGAAGAAGAAGAAGAAGAAGAAGAAGAAGAAGAAGAAGAAGAAGAAGAAGAAGATGATGAAGATGAAGATTAAAAAACACATGGCATAGCAATCATGACGAACAAACATGATCCAAATTGAGACCCCAAAAAACAATGCTTGATGTCATCGATTTTCCTTCTCCATCTGAATTGTTATTTATCCCATGGTATATTCTACCACCTCCATCACATCCACCATTCTTATCATTTTCTTTTACATTCTTTTGTTCTCCATCCTTTATTTCTACAACATTTCGAATTTAATGTTAGATATTTGTTCAGTTAATTTGTTATTATTATCAGCATCATTTTTCAGAATTTGGCATTTTGTGACCCTCAAGTCTCTCCTCCCGGTATAGCTAATTGGGGATGTACGTGTAGGTGGTTACCCGGATTTCCCCCTTCTCCCGAAAAGTACAGTGGGTTCATTACTCGCAAGGTGATCACTCTATTTGGACTCCTTCACTTGCAAGGTGGTCACACTCCTTAGATTCCTAGACGGGGACTCCATTTTACGCCCTATCCGAGGGATGGAGTGTTTTCCTCTCTAACCTAGCTTACGTTTATGCAACAGGGGGCAGTCATCCGCCGTAGTTGAATGTGATCCTGGAGAGTCTTATAGAAGGTCTGTAGTGTCATGCCTGACACGCATACACGTATACCTTCATTAATCCACCCGTACGTGGTGCATACAGATAAATACACCATTTACTTTTCACTCGACAGGATGAAGGCCTTAAGATGGTGGGCTGCCAACGCCCTTTCCGATATTCCGGAGATAGTCTGTGGATTGCGAGATGACAAACGCAGAATCGTGCAAACATTTCAGTACATCAAAACCAATAATCTACCGACAGAATATGCTCAGGTGAGTTTCAACAGGGGCTTTACTATGGTGCTGGATACAAATGCAGATATAAATATGCCAGAGGTAGCAATACCAGAGTTTAAAATGAAAGAGATAAATTTCAGAGGTTAAAAAGTCAGAGGTGAAAACACCAGACATTAAAATTATGTCAAAGGTGAAAAAAAAATAAAACCTGAGATCTTTTAAGAGCCTTGGAGTCTTGTCGGTAAATTTTATGGAAATATGACCCTTTCTATCTAAATTGAAAAAGGTTTTCGAGATCCGTCGGCAAAATTCAAAATATTTTTTTATGTTTTTACCGTTGTCGGCACCACTAAGGACGTCTATTCTGTGAGTATTCTTTCATTTTCATGTTTATTTTTTTAATGTATTGTATTGTGCAAATTGATCTATTTGTATATAAATATATAAATATGTTAAAATGTACCATCATTGTAAATATGAACGATTGAAAGAGGAAAAATAAATATATGGGAATTGAATTGAAGTATGAACAAAACTTATATCAATATCTGTAAGCAATATATAAATATAATAATTTTATGAATCTATATTATTTGTTCTTTTTGATAGGACAAGTGGCAACCAGAAACTTGCATCAAAACAATGGAATCATTGCTTTCTCAGATCAAAGAACTGGTGCAAGATGACGATGCAAGGTAAATATCACAACGACCTTTGAACAATTACAGTTCAAAGATTAAAGTAGCTCAAGAAAACAAGATAAAAACACGATAAAAGCAGCAGTTTCTTTTCTTCTCGATAACACTAAATAAAGTCTTCCATGTTTCTTGCAATAGTTGATAGCCCATATCAGGCGCGTACGCAGGGGGTAGGGTTTTGGGGTTAACCCCCCCCTTTGGTAATTTTATGTATGTAAACCCCCCTAAAAAAAAACCTAACCCCCCCCCCTTTTGATTTTTTTTTTTTTTTTTTTGTATACAAAAAAAAAAAGAAGAAAAACTTATGCCCCCGGCCGACCTCAAAAAGGTGACCTTACCCCCCCCCCCCAACTGAGCAAAATGTCAAATTTCCAAAATTTCGAGACCCCCCCCCCCCCAAAAAAAAAAAAAAAGTGTCCTCTTACTCCCCCCGCTTATTCAGCGGTCGGCTGAGTCGTTGCGATTTTTTTGGGACCCCCCCCCCCAAAAAAAAAAAGTGACCTCTTACCCCCCCCCCCCCGCTTATTCAGCGGCTGGCTGAGTCGTTACGAAATTTTCGGACCGATTTATAAATGTTAACCCCCCCCCCCCCCCCCCCCCCCTTGAAAAAATCCTGCGTACGCGCCTGGCCCATATAATGAAAAGGTAAACCGGAACACTGATTATTTACGACGATTGTTTTTTTTTTAAATTAGACTTTAGGCATTTCAATCATAATCAACTATTATACCTTATCATTGTTATCAGCTTTTTATCTAAATATATACATTTTGGAAATAATTTACTCTGTCTCTCCTAAGATTTCTTAATTTTTTTTTTATTTTCTCCTTCTCTATCGTTTCTTTTAACTAAATCTGTTCCATTTCCTTGAAATGCATCGGGCGATGTTCCTCTAATTCTCACCCACATTACTCATTACACCCTCTTTCACATCTCTTTCTTTTTCATTTCTCAATGCATTTGTTTCTAAAATTTTGGAATTACGAACCCTATTTCATTTTCGGAATTACGAATCTTCGGAATTATGAATCTTTGGAATCATGAGCCTTCGGAATTATGAATCTTCAGAAACAACAACAAAAATTTGACCTCTTCCTTCACCGTATACTTTCTCTAACCTTAGTACCGTCTATCATCTCGTACTCGAGCCAGTTGAAGGAGGTCGGGAATTGGAACAACGTCTTTCAAGCCGTCGCTTCGTCTCTCGGGGCAAACGAACAGACGATTTCACTTTTGTTGAGGAATCACTTCTTCACGACATACTTGATTCGGAGTGAATATTATTAGTAAAAACTCCATCCCGGCACGGACGTTCTTGGACAAGACATTTATCCACATATACCACATTCTATCCAGGGGTAATTTTGCAATTGCTGGAGTAATAACAATTGCAGAGCCCTCACGAAGTACAGTGCTCGTACTGACGAGGCTTGAGTAAACAAAATTACTATTATGTTTAAACAAATACCGCGATGTTATTAATACGATTGGGTGAAGTCTTTCCCTTAACGTCCGAAAAGAGTTATCAGACAACCTTAACAAATCGATTATTACATGTTCTTTGTGTTTGTGCAATAACGGTTATTTCGATTATTTATATGACCTGGTTTGATATGACATTAATGCGGCAATTTATATTCTAGGTAATCCAAATTGGTTTGAAAAAATAAAAATGAATTCTATAACGAAAGAAAATTAACATATAGTTCAAGGCACTTAATATTTTTTGTAAATCAGGCGTACCACATTGAATATTTGAATTTGAATTTGAATTTGAATTTATTTCCACAAAACATGAAATAAAAGTGTACGAAACGATGCATAAACAATCAAACGAAATTGAGGGATAACAAAAGTATAAATGCTCATAGTAGGTTATCAAAGCAAAAAGGTACACAAAATAAATAAATTACAACATTAAAATTGAAATTAAGTATAAAAAAACGTGACTTATACTTAAACACATACAATTATACCCATATACTACACACAAACAACCACGCACGCACTCATACACATTGTAATTGTAATTTACATCAGAATATTGCACATTTCACCTTAAATCGTAATCGATGTTTACAAAATAATCAATCAATTTCTGAGGTTGTACTTTTATTTTGAACCAACCTTATTTTCAAGTGATATGTCAGTATAATGTTCTTTTTATTCTTGCACTTCATATTTCTTAAAATATATTCGATTCTCATTGCAACCATAGCGTTATCAAATTTTTGTATTGAAAATAAATGCTTAACTCTTTTTCAATCATGATTGACCTCCTTTCGAAACTCTTTATATTTTTCATGTCGATAATTTCCCCCCACCTTTGTTTAAACAAAAAATAATAATAATAATAATTTTTTTTATTTTTTTTTAAATATTAAAAAAATGTGATAATGAGTGACCCCAAAAGCTGACCTTACCCCCCCCCCCCTCCCCCAACGACACAAAATATCGATCGCCCAAATTTTGAGACTCACACACACACAAAAATGTGCTCTTATTTTGGGCGTGATCTTCAAATGTTAACCCCCCCCCCCCCCCCCCCTCGAAAAAAATCCTGCGTACGCGCCTGTTTATACAGCTCAATTTCTGTTGCTGCCCACATTATATGATTCTACATGGTTTGTTCTGTAGACCCTTTGTCTGGAACCAGCAACCTGCCCAGTATGAGGGTCACGCTGCGGTAAACATGGAAACAATAAAAACTGTTCACCTTTCCTCATACCGGGGAATCCCCAGCAACAGGAATTTGAAGCTCGAAAGCTAGGAGATGAATTCCTGTGTAATGTGTTTTTGCATTAATTTGTAACATTGTAGCCACATGTAGTCATAGTCCTCTCTTAAAATGGGTAGTGGTTGTAATGAATAGGTTGAGGTATCAAAGTATAGTGAGTAGTTCATTCACTTGACTCTAAATCCTACGGTTCGTGATTCGAATCCGAGCCCGGCCCTAACTTTCTTTGCCAAGACTCTTATCCACATTTACATGTACCACTCTTCACTCAGGAGTACATAATTATTTGGTAAATGTTAGGGTGATGATAGTTGCAAGGTCTTCGTAGAGAACAGTATTGGTAGTTATGAGGCTTCCAGGCCTTGCCCCTGGGTAAACAAAACAACTTATTGGTTAGGCAAGACTGTAGATATCACTTTCTACATTTTGGAATGCAACAACAATTTCTCCAACATAATCTAGAATCCGTGTGATCAACATGATCAAGACAAGAGATTTGGTGACCCCTATTCGTAGTTCTCGGTCCTATCCTTGATTATGAGAGTGCAGTGGTATATTGCCAAATGCTCTTAACCGTCATATGAAAGGTCATGGGTTCAATTCCCCTATCCACATAATCAGTATCAGACCCAGGAATATTTAGAAATATTTCACCTACATTCCTCCTCAAGGGTGTAAAACAAAATTCAAGAGAAGATAACGCCACATCCTTACACCCCCCCCCCCCATCATTACAACCAAAAAAAACAACGTATTACCCACATGTATGATATTGTCACGTGTTAAACACTAGTGGGCTTATTTAAGTTCGTTTGGAAACGGTTAACTCTGTCAATATTATTTAAAGGGTGTTTTTTGTTGGTATATCAAAAGGTTTTCTTAGCGAACAAATCTTATTTTCCTATCAAGAAGTGTTTTTAGTGTCTTAAATGTATATTATTTTAAAAGTACAGCTAATAAAATGTTCACATTTTGCAGTTTTTGATTCGAAAAATCAACATGTGTAACAAAGTTACGAAATGAAAGGAGTCTGGATATAAAATAGAAAAACATTTTATATTTGTTCATATTTCATAACGTCTTAGGTTTATAAAAGTCATTACAAATCTGTTGCGTAACTCGAAACAAAACAGATAGTCTGAATAGTGCTAATGTTGAAAGAAAGATGTAGAACATGTAATGGCAATCGAGAGAGAGAGAGAGAGAGAGAGAGAGAGCGTGATATATATATATATATATATATATATATATATATATATATATATAACTAAAGGTGTCATTAGAGGGACATTTGGAGTGACGAAATGAGTCATTAAGTAGACATTGTCATTAGGAGGACAATTTGGTGTCCTCTTAACGTTTTTTACGTTTTATTTCTCATAGAAGGCCCAATTTTGTTACATATCTCTCTCTCTCTCTCTCTCTCTATATGTAATTTTACTAAAGGCGTCATTGGAGGGACATTTGGAGTGAAAAAAATGAGTCATTAAGTAGACATTAGGGTTAGGGTTAGGTTTAGGGTTAGGGTTAGGGTTAGGATTTTTATGATGTCCACTTAATGTACCATGTAGGGTTATATATATATAAACATATATATATATATATATGTATATATATATATATATATATATATATATATGGAAAGGAAGGAAGAAAGGAAAAACTGCAGACGGATAGAAATAAAGAAAAAAAGAGTGAGCAAGTGGGGTAGTATCGTGGTGCAGTGTCACATCTTAACGTATAGAGCTAACGTGTGCCCGGCGTTTAGGAAAAATTCGGTGTACGTTCGCGAAAGTTCGCATTCGTTTGTAACACGTTTGACATGATAGTGTTGTATCACACCAAACTAGTTCTTACTACGTTCTAGAACCGTCCTAGAAAATCGTAGAACGGGTTGTGGTTGGGGTAAAATGTGTGAATGTGCCATTTCAAGACAGTCCAAGGCAGTTTTTATCTTTGTCTGCAAGATCGTAGAATCATACTGGCTTCTTTAGCATTCATAATCTTCTGATTAAATATTATCCAGAGTATGGCAAATATACCTTAATTCATCGGCGAGATTTTGAGATTATTCTTTTCAGATATTATGTGGGCTTAAATCTGTTGTAATTGTCAAAATAAACATAACATTCTTTTCCTGTTAGGTGTTCAACTTCGGGCCATTGTAAACACCCACTGATATAGATATTTTATGGGTTTCATGGATAGGTGTGGAAATCCTTATTGGGTGCTCGCTTAGGCCAACAAACAAATTGTTTGGTTGTCCTCGACCGCCCGCTCGTCATTATCTTTTTTTTTTTTTTTTTTTTTTTTTTTGGGGGGGGGGGGCAATCTTAAATGCCAAACATACCATTTTATGCATTTGCAAGGATCAAAATGCGTCCCGTTGCCAGTTTGGTCTCTACAGTACGCAATTAGGTATTTATTAAACTTGCCATTTTTATTTTTTTATGTCAAAATGCCGTTCATTCAAATCAGGTTCTGGGCATTCTTAAAATCATTTTAAAGCCCATATGTACTAGTTTACAGGAGAGATTAGACCACCCTGCAAGGTCACTGGACAGGTGGTTATCCCATCAAATCAGCTCTCAGTTAATATAAGATAAAGAGGATCATGGGGACCAATGGTCACCGATTAGGCATTGTTTGCTACATAGAGGGCGCAAGTAGCTGTAAGTAGTACAATGGAGATTTAAAAGGTGCTGTATTTCAAAGCCCAAAATACTTTCTGTGTTGCTCTTGATATTCATTGTACATTAAACTGGTCTTTAATCACATTAAAGTGTTTTATAGACTTTTTTTGTTTAAATGCTTGACAATCCCAATGATTTTATTTTTTTTATGGACAAAAAATATATGAAAATATATATATAAAAATATATTTAAAAAAAAAAAAAAAAAAAAAAAAAAAATCCGCCTGCCCGCCCGCCCCTACTCCAGAAAAGCAATCGAGGACAACCAATTTTTTTTTTTTTTTTTTTTTTTTTTTTTTGCGGGGGGGGGGGGGCCTTTTTGGTCACTATGGTGTCAAGAAGCGCATTATACGGTATACTGTGTCTTTTCCTGTCTATCTGCAAGAATTGGAAGGGCAACAGACTTGCACCCTCGCTGCTATATCATAAGCATTTTCTGCCAGATATTTGATAATTTCAGTACATACATGTACGCAGAGTAGACCTACTTATCGCTATACGCAGTATATTTTCCTGTCTACCAAAAGGGCCGGATTAACTGTTTCTAAAAAAATAATGGCAGAGGTAAATTTAAAAAAAATCTTTGAAAGAAATGTATTTTTCACCATTATAGTTCCAAAGAAGAATGAGAAAACACATTATCAAAACCAAAAATATAAATAGGAATATGATAACTGTTTGCCATAATTTCTTGAGATAACATATTTGTTTAATGCAGATCTATCGTTATCTGATATTTGCATTCCTCTGAGCATTAATATTACAGAAACGAATAGAGGTATTTAAATGTGTATATTTTGCAACAGAATATGAGCAGCTCTATGCTAGATGTGGAATTCCCCGATGCTAAATGTGGAATTCTCCGATACTAGATGGGGGAATACCACG